ATACAAAGAAATATATGTAGCAATGTTTGATGTTGAGTGTATGACGTCACAGACTCCAAAAAATAATTGTAAAAATATCATACTTTCGTCCTGAATATCGAGAAAACACTTYATACARTGATTATTGGACCTTTAAAGAGTATTCTTAGGAAGTTTCAGCTGAATCCAAGTTTGAGCGATTTTCGTCGTAGTAGCACTTTAAACAAAGAGATAATACTCTAGGAATATTGACATGTGGTCTGAAATGGGAAAACATGCCATTAGGCCAAACAAAAAAATAAGTGTGTTTCCGACCCTAATTTTCTTGCCGATTTTTGCAGACCCTAATATTTTTTCATTCCCAAATGCACCACAGGGTTCCCAGTAAGTTCATTTCCACTGTTGTGTCAGTAAAAAATCCGACCTACTGACCCCAATTATTTTTCTCATGCAACAGGAAACACACTTTTTTTTCCGTTTGGTCTTAAGGTAAACATTAAAGTAGAGGTCCATGCTATACCATAAAATCTGTTCTGTTTTCTGAGCTATTTCACAGTCAAGCAAACTCTACTCTAACATTGCTTCATTGATTTAACAGTTTTAGATTCCTAGCATTCTTATTTTCTAATTTAATTTTGTATTATTGTCGTAGGTCTTGAACTTTATCGATTCCTCAATGATGACGTGAGTAAGCAATTAAGGAAAATATTCTCCTTTAGTCAATAGTGATAATCCAAACACTGTCTGTGTAGATGTAATTTTTAGTGATTTATTTTCTATTTTAACCTTTTTTCTTTTTCCTTACTTTTTTCTCTTTTTTCTTCCTTTTTTTCTTTTTTTTTTCTTTCTTTTTTTCTTCTTTCCTTTCCTTCCTCTTTTCAATTTAAGAAAATATTTTGTTTGGCGAAATTTCTCTCATCAACCTTTAAATAATTACTTAATTTACTGAGCTTTCAACCTACATGGTCATCTTCAACATCTATGTATGAGATAAACTTCGCCATAAGAAAATCTTTTGGTTCAAGAAAACAATTAATAGTTGTTTTAATCATATTTCCTCTCATTTACCATGGTTTGCATTATCATTTTATTGAAAATTTGTAATTGAAGTGGGTCTATACCACTGCCGACAAATTTGCCAATAACTTTGTTAAAACAGAGGACAAACAACAAGTATAACCTTAAAATCAATAACACCACATTCCACCTATCACCCCCTATGTAGACTGACGCTGTGGATGAACACTGTGCGCAATTGCTGCTCCGGCGCTGCTTAGATCCAAATACTTAGGTACATGTTGATAGCAAGGTGGGTTAGATTGAATACTGTGTCTTTCCCACCACTTCGTACAAGAGCCTTGTTCTATATTGAGATATAAAATTTCATTTTAATAGTCATGGGCTATCTGAGAAGAGTACATGTGAAAACCTCAATTAAAATATTGGAAGAAAAAATTGAACAAAAAACATTTGTCTCTGCTTGTCAAATAATTTATCTAAAAATATTCTGACTAATGCTGGTGAATATTAGTAGCTATTATAGCACAACATGCAAATGTATGATCACATTTAATTTATTTGCATATTTCTATGCGCTGGCTTTTTGCTGCCAAACAAGCATTTGCATGCCTTATTTGGTAAAACAAGCCAGCTTCGCATCGAAGTGTGTCAGTTTAATGTACAGAACCTGTGCATAGGAGTATGAGGATACATTAAATGTGGTCATACTTTTGCATGTTGCACTGTAATTAATCTATTATTTTGTTTTTACTTTTAGTTTGCTCCTAATATGTACCTCAGTGATCAAAGTAGCTTGTTGGATCAACTTGGTGGTGCGTCCAACGTCATCCACCTAGACTGAAAGGAATGGGCATTACTGAGGTGATGTTTCACATCCGCAGACCCCAGCTTCTTGGTCTAGTGCAGTTGCTATCCCATGAATCCAGTACAGCTGTTGCAATCACTCCTGCCAGGTTTCGTATGGAGCGGTAAGACAGCGTAGACCTGACAACTGTTTGACAAGCTGATAAGATGAACATTTCTATATGTTGTTGACCAAATGAACAAAAAGCACTGGAAAATGCAGATATTCATGGTATCATTTTCACAATTATTGTCCAGTTTTGACCCAGTTCCCCCATGATATGAAACAATGGATGTGGTGATGATAAGGATGTTATACCCCTCGTACATTACCCACCTGAACTGAATATCAAAAAATCACTAGGTGTTGAATGCCTCTCAGATAAACAGCTCTTCTTGAAGCAGCACTTGTCCATCACATTCTTCATTTCTGAGTTTCCAATTCCCAAGAGGATGAAGTAACAGGAGTCATGGCAGCCATGTTGATGGATATAACAAAAGAGACTAATGGCAAATCTTTTGTTAAATTCATCCAACATGGCGGCTGTGAAAACCAGCTGTAGCAAAACTCTATTATCATTACTTGATAATATATGTCAAAAATGGAGCTTGGTATACCTGTGTTGCCAACCAGCTTCATACAGTGATTATCGACATCAAAATATCTGAGAGAAACAACAATAGAACGTTTTCTCATGTTTGCATGCGCATTTAACTTGACGGGCTGCAAAACTGCAAAACGCAAATTCAGTAAAGGCAGTTTTTTATTTAAAGAAGAGAATAATCAATTTTATGAATTCTTGTCGAAAAAAATCATGGCAATGAATGATAAAGATCATCATAAAGCTCCTGTTTTGGTATCGTGGCCCGTCAAGTTCTTTAAATTTGGATGAGCACGCAATCTTGAGAAAACGGTCTATTACCATTTGGGCATGCCATTTGGGCAAGCCACACAAACCCAAATACTTACTTAGGACCAGCTTACATGAAGGTAGTGTAACCCTAGTGCTAGGACCAGTCTTGTTTCCCTGATACCAAAAAGAGTTAGCCCCAGTTGTAAGATCAACTTTAATGATCACAAGAGCTTCAAGCTTGTCTGGCTTATTGCTTTTGAAATGCTCTGAGAGTATCACATTCCTCAAGTAGACCTGAAAGATTATTTTACTCACACATACGGAAATATAAATAGCGAAATTTTATTTACAGATTAGATGTTTTCCTGTACAGTTCTATAGAAATCAAGAATGTTCACCCATTCTAAGTGCCAAATTTTTTATTGTACATATCATTTTCTACTTCCTAGATTTTCTCTTAGACTGTCGACAGCCCTCAATATCTCAGGCCTAGGGCAAACGTCGAACTTTCCATGCACCGAACTCATTAAAAACAATGGATATCAGATGATAATGAGGCGCCATTCTTTGATGTAATTAATTTCGCCGCATGGAAAGTTCGACGTTTGCCCTAGGCCTCAGCCTTTTAGAAACTGTAGCTGAGAAATAGACTACTTTACCTTGGGCGTAATGTTTTTTCCATTTTCTTTTTTTTGTAATTCACTAGAGTATCATTTCTTTGTTTAAACCTTGTGTATTAGAAGGCACATGAATATGGATACAACTTAAACAAAGAATCTTATTCTCAAGAGAATGACACGTGGTCTTAAATGGGAAAACATTACGCCCAAGGTAAAGAGGTCTTTAGTTTCCGCATGCATGGTAGTGCTTTTGGCTTTAGTAGTGAAAAAGAAATTTTGCCGAGATCAAAATAATGTCAAAACCATAGCAGTTGACGCCACTGCTGAGTGCTACGTTCTTGGAGGTTTATTTTTTTAGAGAAATGCCTCTAATTTCTTCACTTACTGATATTTTTAGTAAACATGCGAACCCGGGAGCTGCGAGCTGCATGCTGAATTTTGGTTTTTCGCTGCCGCCAGTCAAAAATATGAAAGGTATCAACTGATTAGGTTTGATTGATGGCAGCGAAAAACCAAATTTCAAACTAGCTCGTAGCTACCAATATCGCATGTTAATGAAAATAGCAGTATGTTTGACGTAGACATCGAACATCAAAATATTCTGGGCAGCCGTGCACCCGCGAACTTAACTGGCTGAAACACTTCAGCTTCAGTTAGAGTTCATAACATATATCCGTGAAAGAGTTAACTAACAAAATTGTAGAAATCAGTGCAAAGTTGTGTAGGTCTACTACAATCTACTGAGGCCTACTGAACTTACTAATTTGTGCAACTTTCTTACAAAGTTTTTTCACGTATATATGGTATACACTCTACTGAAGTAGGGCTTCATTCTAAATTTTGCTATTTTCTTGGCAGTTTTGCGTGCAATAGTCCCTTGAGATAGACATTGCAAGAATCATTTATGTCGAGTTTTTCACAAAAACACGTGACCACGGCTGGGAGTTGTCTTTACAATGCTTAGCTCAAGCATGTTGCTAAGCAACAGAGTAATACCCATAAGGGAACGGGGTTAGAATGATAATCAGATTACCGATAGACTATAATGAATAAAGGAATGTTTTGTGATATATTATATATATATATATATTATACTAATATTTGAAAAACTGAACACAGTTAATAAATTATTGAAGAATCAACTCTGTTACATCTAGCACTTTTTTGCTTTGCTTTGGAGGGCGCGCAGGTCTTATAGCAAAAATCAAGTAGTATATAGGACATGGAAATGCCGTTGTAGTAATGGTAAAACGCATGTGCGCAAATTTAGATTAGCCATAATAAGGGGAACTTAGTTGCTTTAATTAAGTCGCTATTTTCAAAGCTATTGTGAGACAGACTTGTAAAAGAAATTTCTAAAGCCAACGCCCTCTGTAGATCGCAACATTACACCGTGTATACACGTAAAAACTGTGATGTTTTGCAAACAAAATGCTGCTTTTCGGGAACTTTGTAACAGGCTACCCAGATCTTAACAGAAATCAAAACGTCAAAGCGCAAATCTCCTTTTCCACTGCAATTTATTAGTATTCATAATAATAATTTTCTTCGATTATCAAGAACACAACCACTTGAAGTCAAGAGAACAAGTTTATTTAGAAAATACCATTCAATATCTATATTCACATTTAAAATTTTTAGGAATAGACGAAAACTGCTAAATGAGAATGAAAACCTATAAAATCCAAAAAAAGTTTCCAAATTTTTAGTCTTTCAAATTTCCTCTATTACGTGGTTTTCTGTGTATGCGTCGTATCGGTTTTCGAACGAATGACTGACACCATCCGCACTTGACTGGATTCCAGTGTCCATAACAACAAGCTCGGTAAGTTCTCCTTGTTCGTTGGTATCGGTTACGAGATGACATCGCACCGGAGTCTCTAGTGCTCCATCATGACTTGTCGAAGAATATGAGCTAAAAATATATCTTGGAAGATTTTGAGATGAAGATCCCAACGAGTAGGCTTCCGTTAAATCACCTTCATTGTAAGAGTTTTCGAGAACGGTCTGTTCAGTCGTACTGACTGGGTTGGCTGTGGTGGAGGAATTGGCGCTTTGACTTGAGGCTACATCCATGCATGGTGTCATTAGTAGTTGCTTGTTTGATTGATGGCTGTCAATCAGGAAAGTCTCCTGGGGACTTCCTCCGTATGACTCTGAAACGGTTGGAATCCATCAACGTTACGTGTATAGTTAAGTGCAAATAGGTGCGCAAAGTCGCACTGACCTATTTAAGTTATTGTATGAAGCGGGTAAGCTCGATAGCTCCTTTTTGATGAGTGGATCGTCGTATCAAAAGAACTAAAGAAGCAAGCATTAAACAAGAAAGCAAGCAACAAGGAAGGGAGGAAGCAAAAACATGTGAGGGAGGAAAGAGCGAGAAGGAGGGAGGGAAGATTTCTATCGTGTCTCTTCATTACCTGTATTATCATACATAGTATCCTTTATCTGTTCCACCGCGCATACATTTTCGTCACGAACGATTGCGTCTGAACTAACGATTGTCTGAATGGCATTTATAGTCTCGTGGTCGCTCTCTTCTTTTCGTTCTAGTAATGAAAGTAATTAAGTACCAGTCATTCAGTCGGCCAAAAATGTAAATAAATTCTATCGATACCCTGAAACAACCTCTGAGCTGATCTCAAAGTCAGGGAATTGAACAGATTAGAATTAAGTGTGTTGGGCTTTGCGGAGATGGGAAACCCGGAGAAAAATCCCTCGAATCCGAGAGGCGAGGCCATATACCGCTACGCTTCCATTGTCTGTACCTGCAGTTTTCTAGACTTTTACCTGGCATGGAGCTCTGTTTCTTTTCCTCTAACAAACGCTTCTCCTTTGCTCGTCTGTTCTGGAACCACACCTGAACACGGTCCTCAGCCAAGCCACTCTTAGTAGCGATAGTGTGACGTAGTTTACCATCAGGGTAATGTTGTTCGTTAAACCCTGCTTCAAGGATAGACAATTGTTCTTGAGTGAAGACAGTTCTGCAACGTCGACGCTTGTCCTTCGGTCGACAGTCATTTACTCCTTTGGAAGACAAAGAAAGCTAGCTTAGTACAGCAGCCAATAGTGATTCAGTGGAAACTCTCAAAAGCGGACGTTCTTAGGAACCGACCATGCAGAATGTTCGGATAAACTAGATCAAAGCTTTTGAATTTATGACAATTATTTTACTGAAATTAATGATTCAACAAGCATCGATTGGTTTTTGATATTCCGCTTACCAAATACTTATCTTAGGATGCTACATTTTCGCTATTTTGTGAATCAATTTTAAGTTACGATTCGAGGATGAGTTAATGACGTCAATAATGAACAATGCCCAAAATTTATCTTTGATCAATCAGAACCTAATTTTTAAAAAAATGAAACAATTTATAAATTAAGATCTTCTTGGCGATAATCATTAATTAATAAAGCTAAACTATTCCAAATGATTGAGAACTTTGAAAAAGCGCGCATACAATTTGTGATCAGGTCAAAATAAAATCTATGTTGAATGTTTTGAAAAGCGTTACCGTCACTCGGAGGTACATTGGGATAAATTCCACACGAGCTCAAGACAGATGAAGGAAGGCTAGCTGTATTTGGAAGGTAATACTGATAGTAGTAGCGTGGTGGATAAAAAGGCATCTGGGATACAGGACTTCCATGAAGCGTGGAATAAGACGAGGGGTCGATTTGGTGAGGCTGTTGGAAAGCTGAAAACTGCTGTTGTATACTTTGATTCTTGTCTGTTTTTGTCTCGCAAGTTGGAAACTTCGGAGACTGTTCTTCGCTACTCATGGAAGCAGATTTCTGGGGAATTTGTTCTTCCATTCTTTCAAAATGATAAAGCAGAATACGTTATTTAGTTTGAGAACTTTACTTTTGAAGTCAAGTTGACTAGACTACTTGCATGTGACGTAAAACCTCGTAATTGTGACGTAACATAAGCGCGCGCAATCGACGTGATCCTTTGCCTTACACCAGACCTCCATCAGTACACTCACCAGTGAACAATGTAAAAACATCTGATGAAAAGCATTGATTTTGGTGCTTAGAAATTAATAAACAATATAAGATAAATTTCAAAGTTCATATCGCAGTGCGAATAGTTTTTCTTCTTATTTCTGTTTGCGCTTTAATTGCAATATCATTTTTAAAATGCTTTTCGCAAGGGGCTCTAGATCTGAACTGTAGATGAAAATAACGTGAATCGAAGATGGCTTCACAGCTAAATTACATCGTTTGAGGCTTGGCAACGTCATATTGCGCTAAAGTCTAGCGTATTACCGTGTTATTTAGAGATGTCGCGCTTCCCCGGACGCGATTCCATGTTTTTGCTGATGCAACTTTTAACTGCGTCATTACTGCTGGAAGAGAGAAACAAGGGCGWGGTTTGCTTTTGACGGAATCTCTCTGTTATTCAAACAAACTATGGCGTCAAAGTAATTTAAAGTTCATCGTTGAGTATGGACAAGAGTATGGATCGCAAATCAATTTGCTACCGGAAAATTCTGTTATATTTTTTCAAAGATCTAACCTCGAGTTTAGATAACGACGGTTGTCGCTGTGCTTTGATCATGAAGTTTTTGGCTTACTGTGTGTAAGCTTGAATCATTAGAAGTTGGTATTAAATATGTGTGAAAAAACTGTCCAACTGCGGCAATTTTAATAAGAATTTTATGTTTTTCGGCCTTTTTTTTTTACTATTTTCTCTTATTTGCGCTCGTAGCCCAAGTGTTTTCGCAACTTGGAACATAGACACAACAAAGACAACAAGTTTTAGTAAAGCAACAAGAAAATTGATTTTAATCGTTGTACAAAGAAAATTATATCTCGCCAGCATTCCAACTGCAGAGTAGGAAACAAAATAACCTTTTTAGGAATTCAAAATAAATGATATACTTCATGTAAGCTTTTTTCCGTAATAAACGGAGAGCTAATAACCACTTTGTTTGGCGAAGGAAAATCTGGAAATTATTGGAAAATAACTCTATCAGATTACCAAAAGAGTCAACAATAAACAATTGGTGTTTTATTTAATGATTATATTACTAGCTCGTATTTAACTGCATGCTTTTCCAGCATTGGCTCTGAACCTTAACCCTTTTTGTCTATATAAAACAGGACAGCGCATTTGTAAGCGTACTGCGACACAAATTCAGTCTAGCAAGTTCAAAGGAAGAACGAGAAAATGGCTCTGGAAAATTTGGGTAAGTTAGACAGTCTTCATTTGCATATCTTTCATCTTTTATGGTCATTGGAGGTTAAAGTGATTACCGCGACGGTTCGAGATATAATTCATTGCACAATTTGTATAATTTTTATAAGACAAACCCTTTACAAGATATATAGTTTGATCTACGCAATGTTAAAATGCTGCGATTGGAAAACTAATTTTTCTTCCTCTTTGGGAAGCAACTAGGTGGTATAGTGTGCGACCCTAGCTGGACATGCCTTCACATGTGGGTTGAATTCCTTCGGTTCCAGTGTTTCTGCAAGGCTATTTCCCTGGGCCCGGTTGTACGAAGGGTGGATAGCGCTATCTGACGTATAATTCTTATCCAGTGGATAAATTTATTGGATAAAAGCATCGACTTATCCACTGGATAAGGATTTATATTCGTTGGATAGCGCTATCCACCCTTCAACCGGGCCCAGGGTCTTCTCTCTTTGTAAGAAGGAACTTCTAAATTACATTTCGGATCTATTGGTCGTGCGAAAAGAGACGCGACCACTTCTGCCGTGATCGACATTAGTTAAAATAATTGCTTTAACGATAGTTGACTTTACCGATGCATGGCTTAAAACAAATAAGTTCCAAATCGATCAACGCACAAAAGCAAGGAAAGAAAAAACTCAGTTCTTCACATGCAAACGGTTTTCAGCCAGTTTCGATCGCACTGAGTTGTTAAGCAGCAGTAAGGGGGACTCGCGGTCACCCCTCGGAATTACACGGATATTCCCCGTGCTCACGTAACAGCGTCCGAGTCGGGTATTACCCGCGCGCTGATTCCCTTACTGCTGCTGGGTACCGTAAATGGAGGTTAAGATATTTTGTTGGATATACGATGCATGAATGTAAAAAGTTCACCAATGACTTCTGT